ACCAACTTAAAGTTAAAGAAAGCATATTTGGTCTCATGGTCATAGATTTTAGTTCATGGTCAGGTAGGCAACTGCTTTCAGCTCTCTAGTGAGGGTATCAGATGGCAATGGTGGGCAGCCAGTGTCAGAGTAAAACTGATCACTTCCTCACCAGGAAAGAAAATTGGTGGGAAGGGGCCACAGTCTGTTTCAGAGGTCTGCTCAAGTTTTCCAAAGATCTTTCATTAGGTCCTATCTCTTAAAGGTATAGTAGCACTCTGGAGGCCAAAGCCTTAGTTCATGAGAGTTTGGGGGAACATTTAAGATGCACATTAGCTGAGATTCAGTTATAAAAAAGCAAATGAGTGATGGCCATAGAATGACTTTGTTACTTAACTGCTTTAGCCTAGATTGATTTTCTATCATTAATTAATTAGTTCATTCATTCATTTCACACGTATTTCTTGTGAGATTCCTCTGTAATAGGTTTTGTGCTAAACATTTAGGGACTAAAAAGTTATGGGGCTGGAGAGATGGCTCAGAGGTTAAGAGCACTGACTGCTCTTCCAGAGGTCCTGAGTTCCATTCCCAGCAACCACATGGTGGCTCACAACCATCTATAGTGAGATCTGGTGCCCTCTTCTGGTGTGAAGGCATGCATGCAGGCAGAACACTGTATACATAATAAATTATTTATTTATAAATATATAATATAATATTTATATAATATTATAAATAAATCCTTATATTAAAAAAGTCAAAAGAATATTTCCCCCTTACACAGAGAACTAACTGTACAAATAACAATAGCAGAGGGCTTAGAATTGAAGTTTGAAAAAGGAGGGATGATGCCATCATGTATTTTACTACCATGATTACAGGGGTAGAAGGAGGTCAAGGCTCAGTGTGAGGAGACCGTGTGAAGTGGGGGATGCTAAATTCATTAACATGGCTGTGGGCGTCAGAAGGTCTGTTAACCTGGTCCCGGGCACGGAGGCAGCACCACAAAGGGGAGGGGTAGGTTGAGGCCTTCTAGGAATTTCCATTCAGTGAGTTTGCTGATTGGAAGTGAATGGAAAGAGACAAAGATGATTCTAGATGTCTAACCTGGGCCCCTTGATAGCTAATTATATTATTTTGCTTAGATAATGAATACTGGCATGAAGGAAGATTTAGGTGCAAAGGAATTTAGTTTGGAGTTGTCGGTTTGAAGGGTGGTTTTGAAGGGGGAGGACTTAGGAGGATGATCAGGCCGGGACACAAAGAGGGAATACCTAGACACCATGGTAATAGTGCAGATGGACACTGAGGCCATGGACTTGGGTGTGATTCCCTGGAGAATGAAGTCTCCCAGATGTGTGACCCAGTCCGTGGGAGTCACGAGATAGGGAGAGCCCGTGGGTTGTGACAGGAGACCCATTTTCCTGAAATACTCTTAGGACAAGTGTCAAAGCGATGATGTCACCAGAAAGCCACGTTATAGGGTTTCTTTGTTCCTTTGTAGTCATTACTAATTGTGACAATTTAGATGTGTGAAGATTGACTTCACTACCCTCTTCCTTCTGAGGGCCACGACCAGATACTCAGACATCTTCTCACATTCCCCTTCATGTGAGAGAGAAGACAAAAATAATTTTTCGTATTTTCTCTGAAAGATGAGAGTACTTTGAGGTTAACAGTTTAGGTGGGAGATGTTGCATAGGCACCAATGGCTGGTTTTCGTAGGTGTGGAAGTGAAAGTGGAGGTATTAAAACAGGGTTCTGCCTGCGTGTGCCTTATACTGTCCAATTTGGCTCTTTCCCTAGGTCACAGGGTGGGTCAGAAGCAGACGGTGCAAAGATCTCAAGACTCACCAGCAAGGCAGACCCCAGGCTGGGTGCCTGGCTCTCTTTCTCTGGGTTTGCTAATGCAGTAGTTCCTCCTACGTCCATCTTCTGGGCCCTGCGTCCTCTCTGTGTCCATGACAGGAATGCCCAGCACGTGCCGCCCATGCTCCAAATGCTTCCTGACACTTGTTTCCTTCTCATTTGACACAGAGTCCCCCCATCTTAGCACATGCAGAAAACCGTGTCGGTTGGCCATTTGAAGTCAACAGTCAAACTAAAATATTTATAATGTGTAGAAAAGCCCTGGGAAGACATGTTGGTTCCCACAGATGTCTCTCTTGATGTGTCGAAACCTCAGGGTGATCTGAGCTATTGTGGGGTGTTTGGGTCAAGCGCTGCTTAAGTGAAGGATCATCTTTTGGTTTTCATCCAGCAATTGATTCCTCCTTCATTGATTGTCTTAGTCTTCCTCTGCTGGGGACATCGGTGGGTCACTGACAACTTCCAGGCTGCCTGAGCCCACATACTGGAAGAAAGCCCGACTGGGGCATCCATCAGTGTGCTTGTTGGCTCTCTTAGGGCTGGGGTTGGTTGTATATGGGAAGGAGCAGGGAGGACTAGAACCCTCAAAGACGGCTTGTGGATTAAAGAACTACAGAGCTCCGTGGTGTTGCCGGTGTTGATGGATCCTGGGTTGCTTCAGATCAGACTAAAGGGGCGGCAGAAAGAAGGGTGTGGCGTTTGATAATCTAGGAGCCGAGAAGTCCTGGATATGAACTCACATAGGACAGGAATTGGACTCAGCTCCCGGTTGGTGTGAAGCTAACGTATCAATTTGTTAAATGTTGGAAGTTGAGCTACAAACAGCAACAGGCTGAATAAAGAAGGGATTACTCAGGGGGAGAGGTTAAAAAAATCAAAGAGATGGGTGAAGGGGTTCTCAGAACCAGTGGTAGTTCATGAGCTCTGAGGAGCCGGTGTGTGTCTCTATGTCAGTCAATCCCAGAAGCTAAGCCGTGCACTCCAAATCCCAAACACCGCCAAGTGTGCCTGTGACTTCTCTTGTAGCCACCACCTTCCTGTGCTGTTCCTTCCTGACAGTTGAAGGAGCAAAGGTAATATTTTAGACAGGGTGTTAAGTAACCCAGCATGATCCGGAACTCACTCTACAGCTGAGAATTGACCTTGAACTTCTGACCCTCCTACCTCTACTTCCTGAGGCCTGGAACAGAAGCCTTGCTTCACCACATCGGGTTTATTTGGTGCCCTGGATCAAATCCATGGCTTTGGGCGTGATAGCCAGGCACTCTATCAATTGAGTTACAGTCCCATCCCGGCAAAAACATTTTAAATAAGCAATTAAACCAAGGCCTCTTGAAACCCATTGTTGGTGGCTTGAAGGTATATGTGCTTGGCTATGGATGTTCTTTGACTCTTGAAGTGAAAGTTAACAGACAAGTAAGTGGTCAAGATGTCTGTGGGTACTCCAAAGTTTTCATCCTGTTGGATCTGCTTGTTTGGTAAACTAAGGCAACAGTGTGTTCTAGAATGGCCCCCTCAGTGATTCTTTTGGGTCCCACATGCTCTTGGGCTATGATTAAGGACTGTCTGGACAAAGCAGCTGCCTCTTAGGAGAATGCCACAGCGATCCTCATCTGGTTTGCATGGCTTCTCCAGGTGGAACCTGGTCATCCGGACCCCCCATTGCTCCAGCCAGTTTATAGGCTGTCTTGGGTTTCTCACTGCGGCTCCGGGACGAGCCCTCTTGATTTATTAATCAATTAATCAGTGCATGCCGAGGAGCTGCTCAGGGTTGTTAAACAGGGAAAACAAAATTCTGGGGCCCATCATTCAGACAGATCGTGATTAGGAACCAACCTCCCACGGATGGTCTTCCTGCCCACCCTGACTGCCCCATATTACTTTCCATACAGGCCACTCAGTCCAGATGGGCCTCTGCTCCATAAAAACAGACAGCACTTTTCTGAAGGGCATTTTTTTTTTTTTTTTGGTATTCTACAGGAAAATGACTCCTGAGGTGAGTTTCATTTGTTACTCACAATAACTGTTGAATTTTGCAAATTCTGCCAGGCCCCAAGTATGCCCAGGTGGTTCTGTTCATACGTGCATGGAGAGTACTGTCCTATCCTGTTTTCCCCACAATTGAAGTCTTGGAGATGGAAGGGTTGGAAAGGGTATTACCATAGCAAGGGTAGGACACAGTGACTGCTCGAGTTGGGACAGGTTCAGTGCAAGGAATAAGGTGTCTAAGGCCAGGCAGAGCTCCAGGGACACAAGGAACAGAATGCGGGAATGTGTTGATACCCATTTACATGCCAGAGCTATTTCTTCATGGAGTCCCATTTCTGTGGAAGTTAAAGCAAAGTGAATGAGAGATAGCATCTTCATTACCCCTATGAATCTTTTAGCTATGACCTTGGAGCATAAGATATGGGAGTGGAGGTTGAGAAAGGACTCACTTCATAGCCCAGGCTAGCCTGAAACTTAGCAATCCTTCACAGCTCCCCTAGTGGTGGCGTGAGCTAGGTGCAGGTGTGAGCCACTATATGGCCTGAAGATTTTTATTAGTAGTTTTAGGTGAAGTGTGTGGAGGAAGCATCTTGGACTAGTCAGGAAATAGGAAAGCAGGTACAGCGGATAGCTCCTCATGGGGTTGGTGACGGATCCTAGGTGCTTGTAGAGGCATGCTGCCTGCTGGAACAGGCTGGATCCCGGAGCTAGAATCTATTTGGTTAGTGTTCTTCCCTGTGGCAATGACTTAGCACACATGTGGCAGAGGCCAAAGTTTAGCAGAATAGATTCTCTGTTCCCCATCACAAGTGACACTTCCATCCCTTGGCAGCTCTCTGCTGCCCAGAATGGTGCACTCACCCCCACCATGCTGGACCAGGGAGGGAGCAGGTTGTCCATAATTCTTTAGTGGACATAGGAGAGTCAAAAATGACCTCCTTTGACTGAGCAGTGGGGGTTCTTAGAGGTTGTGTTTTGTTTAGCATCTTTCAAGTTTCCATCACCTGATTCTTGCATGTGTCTGCCACCTGATGCTTTTCCTAGTCTGACTTCCTCCTGGTGGATGCTGTGAAAACAAACCGTCAAACCCTTGGATTGTAGACATCTAAACAAGACTTACTAGTACTGAGTTACATCCTGTTCTTTTTTTGTGTGTTCTCTAGGACCCTGCTTTCTCTGCTGTGATTCACGACAAACTCCAGGTCCCTAATACCATCAGGAAGTCATGGAATGACCGAGACAACCGCTGTGACATTTGTGCCACACATCTGAACCAGCTAAAGCAGGAAGCCATCCAAATGGTGCTCACCTTGGAGCAGGCAGCCGGCAGCGAGCACTATGATGCCTCCCCGGGCTCACCCCCTCCGGTCTCCAGCATCCCCACCCTGGTGGGGTCCCGGCACATGGGTGGGCTCCAGCAGCCCAGGGAGTGGGCCTTTGTGCCTGCCCCCTACGCCACCTCTACCTACACAGGCCTTGTCAGCAAACACAGCGGCAAACCCAACAGCCTTGGGGTCAGCAATGGCGCAGACAAGAAGGGTGGATCCCCAACACACCAGGCCAAGGTCAGCCTCCAGATGGCCACCAGTCCCAGCAATGGGAACGTCCTTAACTCCGTGGCTATTCAGGCTCACCAGTATCTGGATGGCACCTGGTCCCTTTCAAGAACCAATGGGGTTACCCTGTACCCCTACCAGGTAAGCACCCTCTACAAGCAGGGAAATACAGGGGTTCCCTCCTCAGGTATTGAAATGAACACAGATTCCAGATCTCCCTCTAGAAGTTAAGAGTCAAGGCAGCGGTGGGCTGTGCCTACTTTTTCCTTTTGCAAGCGAGTTCTCACCAAGGAGCTCCAGTCAGGCCTGCAGGCTTTGAGAGAGTTATCTGTCAACTCCCAATTCCTAACCGCTCCTTGCTTAGCTAATATCTCTGCCCCCACCCCCGAGGGATGTTGTTCGTTTGAGCAGCACCAAGGGCCTCCTAGCCGCCAGCTTTACTGTGTGGGCTAGTGAATAAGAGCAAAGGCCTGGAAATGCTCAGTCTGGCCAAACACCCTGACCTGCACACATGCTAGAAAAACAACTTGGCACAAAGGGATTGCCCTGCCCCAGGTTCGAATCTCTCACTTTGGAATTGATGGCACAGTAGTAAGGATTAAATAAAGGGACATGGAGGGACACACACACACTCACACACACACACACACACACACACACACACACACACACAGTATGTTGTCCAGCATATGCTATGGTATTGTACTTCATAACAGGAAATTTAGAAATTAAGACAGACAGGTGAGAGTGTTTTGACCCCGAAACTGCAGTGGCTCCCTAAAATTAGAATCTTTAAAGCAATTGATGAGTTAGGCAGGGCATCCCTAATAATTTAGATGAAGGCCTGTGTTGGCCTCCTGTTCCCATTGTCGATACTTTCTGAATGGGGTGGAGGACCTCTTGTCCCTTGGCAAACTTTTACTTTTTTCTCTCTGAGACTCATCTTTATGATGGACCTGATCACAGAAGCCCCCCACTCCCCACTCCCCCCTCCCCCCCACCCCCATGGTTTTCTCCTTTCTCCTTTTCTCTTTTTAGGCACTGAAATGAGCACTACCCTCAGGCCTCTTTATATGGAAGTAAGAGAGCAGGTCTCTAATCTGGAAAAAACGGAGTTCTGATCTAGATATGATAGCACATCCCAATGCTAGGGAGACATAAAAATCTAGAGTTTCTGGCTAGCCTAGGCTACAGAGACACTTCAAAGCCAGCCTGAGGTACACAATGAAACCTCCTCTAAAAAAAAAAAACAACAAAACTCCAAATAAAAAACCAAACAAAACATAGGAAAAATAATCTTTCCTGATTTTTCTTAGGGGAGTTTTCTGTTGGATGAGGGTCAGAATCAACACATGTACTCTGTCCTCTGGGTCTGCTGGGTAGGGACTGTCACTGATGTGGAGAGGTGGCCATAGTCATGGGGTGTTAGGAAGGTCACTGGAATATCAGGTAATCCTGAACGCCTCAGGTCACTTCTTTCTGTGCTGTGTCCTAGGGGGTGAGCAGCCTTCTCTTATATAGTGACTCGTGCTTCCTTCATCAAGTGTGTCCCCATCTTTCAGGGGCCTCAAGAGTCGTCCATAGACTTTCTGGAACCAGCCAAGAAATGAGGGGGAGGTGCTGAGGCCCCCATAGTGGGTCTGAGGCTTAGCCTGGGTATATACAGTGCTTCCATTGATATTCTACTGCCAAGAATCCAGGGCTTTAGCTCCACTCCCCTGCAGGAGAAACTGGGAAAGCCAACACACCCGGGTGCCCAGAGGAAAAACAAACCGAGTGAGGGTACACAGAGCAGTTCTGTGACACGAGGCAAAAAATACAGGGAAGCATAAAATGAACTCAATGTGGCTGATAAAAATCTGAGTACTTTCTCATTCCCCCACATAATTTGATTTAACCCTGCAGTGGGCCTGTAAGGCAAGGAGGAAACTGTTAGACCTTCTGTGTATAGCCAAGGAGCATGATGCTTAGGAAAAGTGAGTGACTTCTGACTTCACGGCCCGTGGGGGAGCAACACTAGATTGCCCACCATGTTCCCTCCAGCCTTCCTGCCTCCGCCCTGTGCAATCCCCCGTCAGCATTTCCCACATGCGGCTTCCTTTCCGACCCAGAACAGCAAAGAAAACAAAATTCTTATTTTGACATGCAGGGCCTGAGCAACCATTTGACTTTTAGATGAAGTTCTGTGTGGTTTATCTACGTATACCACATTATATCATATAACTATATATTTATACACTGTATAAATAGGATAAGGAACCAATAAGAGAGCCTTTAAGGAGGCTGCATAGCCTGGTCTTGAGAGTCACTGCCTAGGGCTCTGTGTTAGCTGTCTTTTTTTTTTTTTTTTTTTTAATTTTGTGTTTATGAGTTTCTTGCCTGCATATATGTATGTGTAGCGAGTGTGTGCCTGGTGCCAGCAGAAGCCAAAAAAGGGTGCCAGATCTCCTAGAACTAGAGTTACAGACTGTTGTGAGCCCCCATGGGAATGTTGGGAATCAAACCCGGGTCCTCTGCAAGAGCAACAAGTGCTCTTGACCACTGGACCGTCTTCCCTGGCTCTGTGATAGAATTCTGTCATTATAACAGACAGAGGACACGATGACATTAGAGGAGAGAAAGGTTAGTTGCTCTTACAGTTTCTGATCAGCCGGCCTCTGTATTAGTTACTTTTCTTAGCACTCTGACAGGACATCTGAAAGGAGGGAGTTTTATTTTAGCTCCGTTTTGGTGGGGAAATATGGAGGCGAGCAGCTCCATGATAGCATGGGGCTGAGACTTCTTCCTTCCCCACATCTCCACAGAACAGAAGCAGAGCGGGGAGTCCTGGTGCTCCTCTGGCCTTTCTCCTTTATATAACCATGTCCAGGCTTGGTCTTGGCTCCTCAGTTAATTTAACCTGAAAGTAAGCCCACAGATGCGCCCAGAGGTATGTTTCTCACGAGTTTCCAAACCTAGTTGTCTTGACAATGGGGATCAACCATCAGAACCTCACAGCTTTGGGGCCTGTGGTGAGACAAACTATATTGTAACCTCGATGCTATGAAGAGAGAGAGGAGCCCAAAGCCTCAAGAGCGTGCCCCCAGTGGCAAAAAGACCTCGCATTAGGCCCCGCCTCTTAAACATCCTACCATCTTGCGGTAGTCTTTCTCATATGGGTCCCTGGGGGAGCAATCAGCAACGGACCATAGCTGTCAGGAACAGAGTATGTCTTCGTTATGGAATGGTATGCTTTTTTTTTTATTGTTTATCATTTAAAAATATACAATGCATTTAAAATATTTTTTAAATTATAAGAAGTAAAATGTATTTGTTTTTAAATAAAACAGAGACTATATGAAGTTTAACTGCGATTTTCAAAAGCCTACATCACATAGAAATAAGTTATTTACTCCTATTTTCTCCAAGAAATGCGCTCGCAATTTGTAATCTTGTCATGAGACTCAGGGCTTTGACTTTCTCTTGATGGTCTGGGCATATTTTCCCATGCTATTATGTATTTTTCCCAAATATGATCTTTGGGGCCAAAAGAGTAGCTCCCTGGCTTAGCACTCCAAGGCCTCCTTTTTAATACTTAACACCACAGAGAGAAGTAAAATATGATGTCTGATGTTAACATGATATTCTGTAATGATGAATGTTTACTCTATGAAGGCATTCTAATGGCTCTAACGAGCATCAGTATTAGAGTTTAGGTTCTGTGAGTATGAATCACATGCCCGGTTGAGCAGCCTTCAACCCAGGTGGTATTTTTACCATGTCTCTGATGGTGCTATTTGTACACTCATGTTACACAGACAATTCACATTTCGCCTTCCACACTAGAAATCGTCAGAGCCAGTATCTGGACTCAGCTGCTACACCAGGACAAAGAGTCATGACCACAGCTTTAATGTAAAATACCCAGGGGTGGAGATGCACGAGAGGGAAGTTGCCTGAAGGGAAGATTAAGGACGATGGGTATATTCCTTTTATAACATATTCACAACAATTCTCATTTTCTTCCACCCCATCTCAGATGAAAGAGAGTCTCTTGTGCAAGAAGAACTATTTTTTTAAAGCCTTTTGTCATGGAGTGGGCACTGTGTTGGGTGTTGGGTGGAGCTGCCTCCTTGGGCTGGAAACCCAGGTTCCTGTCCCATGGTCTTCACAGTGAGGGAGGGGCCAGGCACACTGAACATGAGGACGACAAGTGAGCACAAAGGTGGAGTGATCCTTGGCCATTCTGAGACTGTGAGGAAGAACTTGGAATCCTGCTCTTGTTGTGGCTTAAAATCAGACTCAAAGATGATGTGTACAAATTCTCATCTTGAAATTGTCCTGGATACATTTTATTGGCAACTCCAGAGCTGACCGACTCATGTATTTCCCCTGAGTAATGACTAAAGGGACCAGAGGAAATCTCTCTGGGATAAAGAGATTTGGGGTCTGGCTATGAATCAGTATCCCACGTGTTGTGACTAGGTCACCCTGATGCCCTGGGGCGTGGACTCCCAGTCTGGCAGACTGAGTGTCTCCTGTTGTGAACATCCCCCTGCAGTAAATATTCTGTAGTTCTCGGTCTAGCCGGCTCGTCAGAGATGGTTGACTGCTCTGAAAGCCAGCTGCAGCTCCCTGCTCACCCATACTCCCACTTTCCTCTGCGGAGCAGATTTCCTCTGGCCTAGAGCCAGAAGTGTTCCTTGAGCGGGGAAGCAGCTAGAGTTTAATGAGTGTCCAGGGTAGCCCTCCACTCCCAGGAACCTGAGCCCGTGGAGATATTATTGAAGGGGAGGCTGTCCTTCTGCACCTCAGATGCAGTAGAGATGACAAATGAGGGCAGGCTTCCAACAGGGAGCCCATGTCCTTTGTGAAGCTCCCGCCTCACAAGAGGGAAGAAAAAGAGCAATTTAGGAGGCATTGAGATTACATCAGAAAGGATACACAAACTACAAATGCAATTTCTCATCTTTGAGAGTTGATTTCATAGATGAGGTAAGCCGTTTCAAAGCCCGACTTTCTTGTGTTGACTTTCAGACACTCAGTGTACTGTAAATATGCACAAATTACCAGCCATCATTTGACCGTGTAGGTTTTGACACTAAAAGGATATGAGTTTGCCACTGAGAGGGCAGTTCTCATACTCATCTATAAGTTATCTC